TGTGCATGTAAATTTTGGTGCAAATCCATCGAAAATTGCGGCCGTGCATTCGTTACTCACACACACACACACACACACACACACACACACACACACACACACACACACACACACACACACACATCCTGCCTTTTATAGATAGAGATATATAACTGATAAAATTATATATGTATAAATTACAATGTAATATACACGCAAGCATGTATTAAGTTGTATAAATGTTTTTATCGTTTTGTTCAAGAAGTGGCTCTAGATGAACCAAATTAAGCTATATCCTTAAATATGCAACCACTCAGTAAGTAATTAAAAGTCATAATGTCCTGTTTTAGAAACGTTTCCACATGTTAAGAATTACATTTTTCAAATATTGTTATCTGGATTTGATAGACGAACTTATCAGAAACAATAAAAATACGCAACATAATAGTGTCTTTCTTTATTTGTAGTATTTATATTCGGATTAATGTCCGTTTTATTGTAATCAAAAATTTCCAGACATTGAAAATAACTTAGAGGAAATTAGCTACAGACCTCCATAAATAATTAACTCAGATTAAACGTTGCTTCGGGAATTTCGTCACATAATTGTGAGGATAGTAAATCCGTTAATCTTTTCATACAAAGCAATGCAATAACATATTATAATAATATAGATCAGGGTCGGCAACCTACGGTACGCGGACCACAAGTGGCACGCCAAGCAATTTCCAAAGGCACGCATGCGCATATGACATCACGAACCAATAATCACTACAATGTAAAGAAGATATTTAGCTGTTACAAATTTAATATATACTAAAATATATATACTATATATTACTGTATAAAATATATTGTAGAAAAGTTATAGTGACCTTGACTTGTATAAAAATTCGTATGCTGTTGGCACACTGAATGATTTTAAAACCCTAAGTCGTCACGTAGTTAGCAAAAGGCTGCCGACCCCTGATATAGATAATAAGCATTTTATTAACACAAAAAACAAAAATTATATAACCTTAATATTTACAAATGTTTCCTTAGCATGGTCTTGTGACTGGCCGCGTAGTGGTAGCTGATGGTTCGCATACTGGCATCAATCAGCGGACCACCACTTTGTTCATGGTTGTCCTAATTTTAGTTTTCACGAGGATATATTTCAAGACCGACGAAAAAAAACAAGGAAACCTGACTCAAGTTGCACAGTTCATTCTTAATATTTTTACCTTTTATGATTAAATGAAACAAAACTAACATTAATACTGTTGGGGTGTCTAGCCAACCTCCCTATCAGAAAAGCCTGGTGGGGTAACCAGTTTAGTCACCGATGACTCAACCTAACCTATCGCCAACTATATTGAGTATCTTTAAAGCATGGAAATTATAATAGCGGTCTGTAAATGCAAGACATTCAAGTATTTATTTCAAATTCACTGTCGTAAGTCATTCATAAAAATCGTTATATTGGTCAGCGAGAAACATTTGGTGATATTATGAACTAGGCACCGAGAAAATACTAACACGAGACTTGAATCTTCTTTGCATAACATTATATTCACCCCAGTATTTCTTCAGTTACACTCAACCAGCATGCGGAATACGAGCGGTCTTGTAGATCTCTCGTCTAATAGTACACCTGGGTGTGTGAAATATTCCTCAAACCGCTCCCGCTGGTTGTTTATTTAGCCATATGCCCAACATTCTTGTTTTCACGCTTGTAATACCAATTCCAAGAGTGTGATCACATACTTTGGCTATTACTCCCATCAGGGTAATCTTCTGGTGCAACAGGTGCACCCAACTTCGTTGATCTATGCAATAAACTTGAGGCCAGGCCTAATTCGGCCTAAATATCACAGTAATACTCTTTCTATCTTCAGTGACTAGCAATAAATCAAAGTGAATGATTTCGGCGTTAGGATTATTTAAAAATTCTAATCAAGTAAGAGACGTCAAATTTCAATATCAGGATTTGAACACGGGGGTCTAAGTTTGTAAACTCTACTAAAAGCTTATCTTTCCACACGAAGCTTAATCTGAAGATATACTCTGGAATAATGTATTAATTTTTTTTTATTATTACTCTTGCTTAATATTCGTATTTGAGTATAAATGAATAGCAGAATTTCAAATGTTGATTTTAAACACTAGTGATCAGGAAAATTGTCGCATTTTAATCTTCTTTCATCCAACAGATTACATTAGTAAAGATAATATTTCGAGCTGCTTCTTCCACAAATGTTTGCTTTTTGGAAACTTTTCCTAAGTGGATACTTCCTCGATCACTACAAACGTAATTTGTTCAAGTCTAGGGTTAACCGTTATCGTCCTCATCCATAAACTGTACCTCATACTTTGAACCCTCTACCTCGACTGGTTCTTGAGATTTGTACAGGTTGGACATTATTGTAAAATAAATAAAATATTGAATACTGCTGCCATATATGGTATGGTGCCATCGCTGTTCATTTAGATGTATTCGACAAAATCCAGAGACGGATATACAATGTAATAGTTCCTGATCTGTCATCTCGTATACAGTCACTTTTTCACAGACGTTTTGTAGCTTACCTGTGTCTTTTCTACAAATATTTTTATGGCAGCTACTCTGACGAGTTACTTTCACTGTTACCCAAACTGCATGAATTTAAGCGTGCTACTAGGTTGGCATCTCGTTCCCACTCTTTCACTGTCGAAACGGTTAACTATCTCTTCTACTACAACAACTTTTTATCTCGCACTTCCCAACAGCGGACCTCCCTTCCTCTTATTTCCTTGATAGCTATAATCTTCAAATATTGAAGTGTTATGTCAATCGACATCTGTTGTCTTGATCTTGATCCCCGTCCTTCTCTTTATCCTTTCTTCGAATACTCCTCTTTAATCTTGCTCTCACTTTCTGTAATCCCTTGCTTGCTAGTGTCATTCCCATCTTCCTTGGGGTGATATGCTTAAAAAAAAAACAAAACAAAAAAAAACAATGCAGATATATTTTTGTAAATGAAATGCCCATTCATGTATTTTATTCTGAATGATCTCCATTTTTTTTTCAGGGATACCTCGGCAAATAAGCAAGTGTGTCAACTTCCTTGAACATATTAACAACGAAATTTCGCAACGCAATGGCAAATACATTGATTTACATGTTGCTGATTCTACTTGCAAATGAATTAGCTTTTGGTGAACATTGTTCAAAAATAGATTCACTTATTTACCACAATATAACTCGATGCAGTATTGTTCCGGTTGTAAACACAACAGGCGAGGATATCCAGAACCTCATCGAAAATGGTCAAGTAAATTTACTCAGGATTACATTCGAATTTCCTGAAAATACCCAAAAATCCATTCGCAAAAAACAATCAGAATCTGTAAGAGTCCAACAGGATTCAGCTTCTTTCTTCTACGACCTTTTCCACTGGCAAATCATTGTTAGCCACATCAGTGACAAGCTTTTAACCCTGAAGCCCAACTTCCAGACATTGTCGCTGAATACATTAACCGTAGGAATAGAAGGTGTGAGCATTAAAATATTGGCAAAACCGTCGGGTTGTTTAGGCAATGTCACTCATCATGAATATCTTTATATCGTCAAAGAATATCTCCTGCATATCATCGAATCGATTAGCGATGCAAAAACAAAAGTTTGTACTTCTGCAGTCAGAAATATTGACGGTAACGCTAAGTTTCATCCAGTTTGCTACGGCGTTCACAAGAAAAATGGTTCAAGAAGTTGTAATTATTTGGAAACTGGTCGTTGGTCTTACGGTTTGAGCATATTTATATATACAATCAAAGTTATTGCCATATTGTTTTGTCCGATATTAATACCTGCCAGTATATACAATTCAAAATATCTTGATAATGCGTATCGTGTAAGACTTGATCAAAAGCTGCCAATTCAAGTGATGGTTTCCGATCGAAAACTTCCAGAAAATGCCAAAAATTGGAAATTTTACCTACCAATATCTTACTTCAAAAAATGGCTAATTTTTAACCCGGACAATCTGGAAGAAGGAGTCGTCTACAATTTTGAAGTAACAGCTTTGCACCTGGGGGTCAAATCAAACACACTCGTTTCAAAATCGCACGTTCCAGCAAGTTTAACTGATTTAATATATGAGAAATGTTACCTGTGTAAGATCGGTCACGATTTAGGCTTCAGATGGTGCTGCTACAATTCAATTTGTCCTCAGCATATGCAGTTTCAACGCAGTCGTAAATATACTTGTATGTCTTGGATGAAGTGTTGTCAAGGACTGATGAAACTCGTACTTGTAATGATGATTCCTCAGCCATGGATTCTTCGATTGATAGTTTATTACTATTATGAGAAAATCGATTTTGAAAGTCGACGCTTAGCTGCAGAGTCGCAAGGTTTGTCTTTGTCCTTCAAAGGATATCTTTTGGGTTATATTCCTCCAATTCACTGGTTCTTTCTTGCAATCTACGTATTGTATGTTATTGATTTGTTTATATTTGGGACTCTAGTAAAGAGTGTCTTTCGAGAATTAGTAAAGATTATCAAAGAGAGTTTCCAGGATATGAATGCATCGTTATCATTTGAAATTCTTCGATGGGGAATATCGCGTTATTTGGTACCTTTTAGTTACTTCGGCTTGCTTGGTATTCTCTTAGCACCATTTTATTGGGTTTTTATTACGCCTTTCGTTTTAGTATTATTTTGTTTCTATTACATTCCGTTAGTAAGCCTCTTTTTTCGCCTGTTTTTGCATCTCTTCTGGTTTTGTTTACCCGACTGTGCAATAAATTCCAAATGCTTCTCTTTCTTTAAAAACTACGCCGAGAAAACGCATCTGATATCGCGTCACCTGAAGGTGAATACAATATCACCAGATCGAAAAATAGTCAATATGGATAGACGCGCAGGTAACTGTGTTCATCGCCATTTTCAAATTCTCGTTGTTTTCTTATGTCTTTTTACAGTGATGGCAATTACAATACTTATTACCGAATGTATCGGCTACCTGATCGACATACTTGCCTTTACTCTAATAGGTATGATTCTTCACACTAATACCGTTTTACCTTATTTTTCTTTTGTCTTCATGATTGTCATTTATTTTTCAACATCTATTAAGGACGTCCGACTCACATACTTAGATTTTAATAAAATCATTATTTCTGAAGTTATCAGTTATGCACAAGACCAACTGAAGCCAGATGCTCACTGGTCAAATACAGCTTATTTTATAAAAGCAGATGGTGACAGTCCCCCAAACAATGCACTCACCTTTGGAAAATCAGGGGCTATTTACTTTCACGCTAATTCTTTGTTACTTTTTATTAACGAAGAAGATCATGCTTATATTCCTTGTGATTTTTTTTACAAGATTTGTGAAATGCCAGTGTCAACGTGTCCCGGTGCCCGCTCGGTGTGTTATTTTAAGGCCTTCGTCAGGTTTCTATACATTCTTCTCTTTCTTATATTTGTCATGATCGTGGTACTATCTTTTGGTGGTTTGTACAATATCTCATCGACCCATCAGATGTTTGCTGCGTTGGCAGGAGGTTTTTTACCGTGGCTCTTCCAGAACGTGATACAACTGAACCCGGCACCGGAAGATGTGAATACAAGCACGTTGTCGTTTAAAAAGCATTTTTGGTCAGAAATCAAAAACTTCGAACAAATCTTCAAGGTTCGGGATGTTGAATTTCAGCTCCTATCAAAGAAAGATACTACTAACAAACGTGCCTCAACAACTGACCTGTCATCCGATCACACTGCAATAGAAATTCAAAGAAAATCTGAAAGCCATGATAAGTACAATTCAAATCGTTACGTCTATTTCGCGGGATCTTTCCAAATGAACATATAAAACAAGCTACACGCGTTATCGTTGCATTTATTGTTGCTGTGTATGAATTAATGGTAAACAATACACATTGCAGAGACATTCTTCAAGCAGTTCTTTTTCTTGAACACTCGATATTCCGCCTAATAATTGTACATTATGGATATTTACGAAAATCTATCATAATTCGGTTAAAAACAATTAAGGAGAAAAATTGTGCGAGGAAGACTGTATAGAGGCAATTTTACAAGTTGGTAGTAACCATCCTATCTTCTGGATTTCTCTAAATTCGGAAAAAGATTACTGGTTCCAATGAGAAATATACGAGTTTCGAAACAGTTAAACAGACTTTTTAATTATATGAAAGCTACAAATTTCAATATGTAGCAGAATATTTCGGCATCATCCCAAAATTGAAAACTCTTTTAAAAACATATCCGATATACTCTTCCTCCTTTTTCAAGTCTACATTCACTCCGTGGCTTTCAAAACTTGTTACGACTTTTTATTTTCCGCAACGAAAATACGCAGTTGTAATCGATACATTTAACTATTTATTGCCTGTTATATATAATATACTAGCAGTAGAACCCGGCGTTGCCCGGGGATGTAACAGTAAGATATAGATCAAGTATCGACCATCATAAAGACTGAAAAATAAAATTGACAAAGATTATTGTTTAAGGTTGACGGACACGCATGTCTTAATTTTTTTTTTTTTTTTTTTTTTTTACGAATTGGTCAAACCCAAACTCAAACAAAAACATTGTTTTCAATCGTTATGAGTCTACCGATTGAATAGAATTTTATTATAAACAATTGTCTTGTAAATGGAATTTTTAAAGCATTCTGAATATAAAAATACAGAAAAAAATGTGCAAGACAATAAGAAACACTACCTGCCAAAAAAAGTGATGTTTTGTTGAAATCGGTTGAAAAATGTAGGAAATCCGATCCCATATATAAACGAACATAGACACACACACACACACACAAACAACTTGGGTTTTATAATAAGTATAACTCGATATGAGTTGTCCCCCTTTCATTCTCGCGACAGCGATGCCTCTTAATCGTGTTTTCAAATTGATTTCGTGCACAAACAATTTTTTTTCATTTTTGGCGCTGTCAGAACCACCGCAAGGTAATTTTACGTAGTCCTGTGAAGTTTTGTTGAAATCGGTTGAAAAATGTAGGAAATCCGATCCAATATATAAACGAACAGACACACACACACACACACACACACACACACACACACACACACACGCACAACCTGGGTTTTATAATAAGTATGATCAGAAAACATTTATGCTGTTTCTGTAATGAAAAACCTTAACATGTAGTTTAACCAGCTTAAAATTTATCATTTATTCATTAATATATAGGGTGGGTGGAAAGAAACGCCATATTTAAAATTATAAATTTTATTGGTCGATTTTCCAAAAAGATTTTTTTTTTATTTTGAGTGATATAATGTTAGAAGTATAACAGAATATTAGAATTCTATGTTTTGCACATTTATTTCCAATCTGGATGTTGAAGGACGACCGTAAGTATTAAACACAGATCCCATACTCATTAACTTGGAATGACAATTTCTTATGATTTTGGCATCTACGGAAGCACAACCTCTCTGCACTTGTACCACGAACTGCCACACTTCGTGATGAGATGCTAGAGGTTCACGCTCATGCAGGTCAGGCGTTGTGCCATTCTCGGCAGCACCTGTCACGCTGGAATACAAACAAAAATTAACAACGAAATTCTACCACTTTAGTGATCATAATACCATTTGTTTCATGCAAATTTGGTGATAATGTAAAAGTAATAAGTAATTTTCAATACGGATTTTTCCACCGACCGATATATATATATATATATATATATATATATATATATATATATATATATATATATGAATGAATTTAAAATTCGATTTCTTGTCAAGCCACTGAATCACTGGGGGTTACACGATGTGGAAGAGTCAAAAATAGAAATATTGCATAGGAGCATGAATAAAAGAAGAGTAATTAGAGGGACATATAGATAGCGATTGACAGTGAATATAATTTTTTTCAGATTAAAGTTGGCTGGTCGATATATATATATATATATATATATATATACATAAAAGGCAGGATGTGTATGTGTCTGTAAAGAATGCACGGACGCAATTTTTGACGGATTTGCACCAAAATTTACATGCATATGCTCCAAGTTAGCGGGAAGGCCAAGACCGACTTTGCATTTCCCAACTCCCATCGATAGTGGAAAGAATCGATTTTTTTCATACTTCTACGACAATTTTCATGTAGTTTGCGGCCATTTTCTACTGGCTAGAGTGAGAGCCAATAGCTGGCTGCCACGAATAGGCAGGAAGATTCTATTGGCCAGCGTGAGAGCCAACAGCTGACTGACACGAATGTTAACTAGCATGCAAAAAAATCTATAGCTGCATTTGTCACAAGTGGGAAAAATTTAAATCTGCATGGCACTTTACTCCAATTGGCTCATTAGATTGCTTAAGCTCAACGTTGATTCTGATTCCGCAGAACTGGGTTGGGTGTGAAAAAGTAATTGTTGTTAACATTCTTTTTTCATTCGGTTTTTCCAGTTACGAGTCCTTTTTTAAAGTTATCGTTTTGTGTTCATTTTGTTTAGTTCTTTTTTCGTAACAGATTTAATGTTTAGTATAGAGCTTAGAAAAAATTCGCAGTGTGACATAGGCAAGAAGTAAGGCATGTAGCAACATCAGCACGACAAAGGGCACTCCTTTAAAGGCAAGGAAGGGCAAAAATATTTTAAGTCAAGTGATAGCGATTGTTGTATGAGTCATAAGATTTTTGAATCAATCACGGGCAACGCCGGGCGATGCTGCTAGTATATATATATATATATATATATATATATATATATATATATATATATATATATATATATACGGTATATTTCCATTCAATAATGTTTCATTGAATTATATAGACTTAATGTGTACTTATTTTTATTTTAATCCTTTCTAGTTGTCTAATCAGTTTGTAATAATATAATTCACAAAATAATAAGGTGCCGGATTTGTTTTTTTAACCCAAGTACTTTCGACCTATTCCAAGACAAACGTAATATAAGTGCGTTAGAATCTGCATTCCGTTGTGATTTTTAAAAACACACGTGAACAAGCTCTGTTATAGTTATTTAAAAACTTTGAATTTATCATTTGTAGTTATGGGATTTTTGGCAAAACTAGCAATTCAATAGAAGGGAGCTGACCGTGAATTGGCAGAAAATGTTATATTCATTTTAATATGTTCTTGCTTTATTCGTAATAAATTATATTGAGTTTTGGTTGGCTGATTTTGATATAGAGGGCTTCAAGAATTTGATGTTTTTTTTTCGTGTTATAGTATATTGGTGATGTCAACAATTATTTTCCTGTATTCTGAAGTTGGGCAGAAATGTGTTTTTAGATGTTGTTACCTATCAGAGCAACGTCCATCGAACTTCGTTTTCGATGAGGGTCCTGTACTAGCCTTCGGCCAAATGAAACGTCTCCTGGCAATTCCAATCTTGTGACAGCAGGTGTCAATTAAATTTAATGTGTAACTCGTGGGCTACTCTGACGCCTTCCCATTGTATGAAGTGAGCAGTTTTTATCCTTAGTTTTTATCCTACAAGCACTTTTCAAGTCGATGTCATTTAAACTGATCATTAGAAACACAACTTGCTTTTTTAAGGTAATCGGTAAATATCAAATGAGTGTGGGATACCTGGAAAAATGTTACACATACGAACAAAAACAAATATTTATGGATGGATGCACATTGCATTTTATATGTAGATTATGGATTTAGATGAGATACAAATATTGTTCGTCTACTGCTTATAGTTAAGTATTATATTATTAGATAATTCAACTTCACAGTAATTATACTGGAGGTTTTGGGCGTCTATTTTTAGGAAAAATATGTTTTATTTGCTGTCAATCAAAAAAACAATGACCGTATATTTTGTCGATTAACATTTCTTCCTTTTGAATGTCAATGTCACACTTAATTATGAATTGTCAATAAACGTAAGTTAAAATAAATTAGAAAAAAATCATAAGAAATACTTGTTTTCAGATTTTGTGATGAAATTCCTCTGCAGTTACAAATATTTTGACGGATTTTCTTCCATTTTTGTTATTTTATTTCAATGTTTTTTTTTTATTGAATTGATTAATGTTGGAACCGAAAATAAATTAATTATGTGAAAAAATTCTCAAACAGCGTCATTTAAATTGAAAAATGATTAAATGTCATGATCTAATAACTTTTTTATTTGTAGCATTCAGTAGTGTGGAATCAACAGCCATCTTTCTATAATCAAGGAGAGCTAGTAACAGGATATCGTCTGTGGTCTTGTCTGGAAAGGCATGAACCCCGCTAGATCTACTCGCTCCTAGATCTGCAATGAATGAATGAATACCTCTGTGAAAGGAGCAGATCAAGTGTTCATCTACGCAGCAAACCTACAAGCAAGGACTGATGATAATTGTGATTTTGATGTCACTAATCTTTTTCTTCGATTTTATTCCAAGCTGTATTGTTGACTAATAAGTGTAGTATAGTTAATAATGTTTAATGGTATGAGATGCAATTTTGAATTTCATCTGAAGGTAGATTTTAATGTTAAATTATTTATCATTTAATTGCATAATCTATTGGAAATAAAATAGAAATTAAAATTGGTCAAAATATTTGTAATAGAAACATTATTAAACGTCATGCATTTATTTAAGCTTGGCGGTATAATATCAATAGCTTAAAACATTCTTCACAGAAACAACTGATATATCCATTGAACGGCGAATTACAACGGATGAAAGAATATTCTTGACTATGGTATGAATGTTAAAAAGTAAAATAAAAAGAAAGAGAAAAAAAAACCTTTTTAACCTCCCTGCAAATGACCTGATGAAGATGTGCTCCAATCTTTATACAAATTATTATATAAGATGTGGTTTTGCAGAGGGATACTGAGAATATCATGGTCTAAACATGAAATTTTAGCGAAAATGGAAACAAAATGGGCACTTGTACTTGACATCAGAAAGAGATAATTGAAATTTCTAAGGCACATAGTGAGGAAAGAGAGCTTCGAAAATTTGATACTCACAAGACATATCGAATGCAAGAGGGAGAGAAAAAACGACACATAATCTACCTATCGAGCTTGTGTAAATGCTTGGCAGAACAGGGATTATGACAGCAAAAATGCAAAGTAACGCACAGGTAATTGTGGAGAGTTATAATTGCCAACCCCTTGGAGTGACATTGCATATAGAAAAAAGTTTTATTATATGTAGTGATACAATGTGAAAGTTAGCAATTTTTATTGTTGGTTTATGCATATACTTTAAATTTAAATTACAACTTCTTCATTTGAATTTGGCTACCATTTTGACCTTATCGATCTCTGTCGATTTTAGTATCTATCTATCTCAGACTGTTCATATCTATCTATCTATCTATCTATCTATCTATCTATCTATCTATGTCTGTTTATATCTATGTCTGTTCATGTCTATCTATCTATCTATCTCTCTCCATATCTATGTCTGTTCATGTCTATCTATGTCTGTTCATATCTATCTATCTATCTATCTATCTATCTATCTATATATATATATATATATATATATATGTTCATATCTATCTATGTTTGTTCATGTTTGTCTGCCTATCTATCTATCTATCTATCTATCTATCTATCTATCTATCTATCTAACCGAATCTTTATATCCTATAGCTGTATGCCGAACCCTTATTTTCTTTCTAAACTATGTTAATTTCCGAGCCTCTCTAACATTGTTGTCTGCTTTCACTAACTTAGGTTTTCACAGGTATGTCATTTTCCAGCAGTTGTCTATATATTTTCACCTGCCACTGACTTATTCTGTCTGTCTAGGTCTAGTCGGTTCAATAACTAAATACCTTTATCTGAATTACCATATTTGTTCTAATTATTGATGATGTCTTGCTCGGCTACTACTATTGATAATTGATTATTTTTCCTCATTCACAGTTTCGTTCAATAATTCAACTCGCCGTTTATTTGAGATCAAGAGTAAAAGAAAGAATTTCTTAGAAAGTTATTGAACATATAATATTCAGTGTTTTATGGGTGGCTATATAGCCTTTGCTAATGCTCCTATTGTTATTACAACAAATGGTTGTTTAAATGTAACATTATTGCAGTTTCAATTTCCAGATTGTTGTATTTAGTCAACTTCTTTTGATGTGATGTTATTATTAACTTTATTTTCTCCAGTATAATCCTTTAACTTAATATAAGTATCATATTTTCTTTCCATTTCTACTACTCTCCAAAGTAGATGAACAGTTTAGCACTGTCGACTGTAATCAGAATCAATGCGAACGATCCTTTCCATAGTACGTTTTTTTGTCAGGGCTACATACAGTTTTGAATTAAGAGTTTTTCCTTCTCCTAGGCACCCAAGGCTACAGAATATAGAATGGCCTACTATATAGCCATAGTTTGGGGAGAGAAGAGTTGGATTCGTGCTTTTTCCATTAGTATTAGCAAGTAAGGGAATGTAATGAACTCGACTGGAATTCGAACTCTGCTCTCTGATTCCTCAATCCGTGTCCCATTCTTACAAACTAAGCGGGGATCTAGTTAATTTCATTGTCCATGATTTTTGGGCGTGCCGAAAGGTTCACTTATAGTTGTCACAGTAAATTTAACGAGACATATTTTTAAAATTTCACTTTCAATATTTACATATGTGTTTATTTTGTCTTTTTTAATACTAATACTACTACTACTACTAATAATAATTAGTTGTATTAGTAGTAGTAATAGTATTTCATTTGATTTCTATTTGCAAAAGCAAATAAAATATTAATACCAGAAATGGGGTTGGAAAACCTACTTCGATTCAATTGAAGTTGGTTTCAGAGGTTTTGTAGAATTGAAATCGTAGGAGCAGCAAGAAAGAAAGAAAGAAAGAAAGAAAGAAAGGAAGAAAGCTCTGATGCAGCTGAAGAAGAAACTGAATGACCTGTGGATTAATGCATCTTTACGATGAGTAAAACTGCACATTTTTCCTTTTGTTACACAAATTAGCTTGCATTTTCTGGCTTGTGTACCATTGAAGTCAACGGTGGGTTTTAGTTTTGAACACCGTAATTAGACATTTGCAGAAGAAACAAACAAATGATTTTAAATATTTGGACTAGATGTCCCCCACCCTACTCCGAAGTGATTTTTTATACTTGTTTTCTTGTTTACCAAAAAAAAAAAATGGCCTCAAATAGCCTTCGAATCCACGAAGCCAACGGATTTATGTTAATAGAATTAAATCCCCTCACGACGGAACATCGAAGCCTGCCCTGTTGGTTTTGATTTTCTGTAACACGAAAGGCCTGCGGTATAGAATTCGCGAGTTTGTTAAATGTAATGTCAGTTTTGTTTTGTCTTATGTTTTTTTTTTTTTTTTTTTTGAGGGGTGGAGGTTACATTAAGATCTGCTGTGAGGTTAGTAAGTGAATGCATGGATGTAGGTTAAAAGGGAATGTACTCTAATATGGCAATTAATGTAGCATGGATATTTTATTTAATTAAATGTGAAGCAACTTAACATAATGTCGGTGGATGTACAGGAAAGGCAAAACCGGAAAGCGGGTGCAATTCACGCCGTTGACCTTATAGCTGTAGACAGCCTGCAAAACAATATCTGATTGGCTAATGCAAATCTCGACACCATTATAATAGTATGAAATACCTTGTGATATATTTAATAACTGATTTTCTAAAGGTACATCTTGGAGCGAATTATGCGGGAAGGTGGCCACATGACAGGTCAGATTACCTGGCAGAACGGATCTGATGTTGCAATTCGAGAAACTCGTGATGAAACCAGGGTGACATCACTGATGATCTCCACCGTTTCATTTTATAAATGTATTTCAAGAACAGTCAAGCATGTCATGAATTAGAATGCTCTTCAATAAATACATAAGACTCTTACAACCCTTTACTGCGAAAGATAATATTTAAAGACTAAAAAAAAGGATAAAAAAAAAAAAGATAAAATTGTTGTTAAAAACAAAGAAAGGATTACCGAGCTACCATATAATCGGAATCCTTCTATGGAACAGAGAAGGGACATTATGGGCGAATTTATAGATTTCACTGATAAGGAGAAAAAATTCAAATTTCTTTAATTTCAGATTGAAATAAACCAAAATTCTTCGTATTGCGAATTTAATCTATTAGCATGGAAGTAAAACTAAATTTAAAGGTTCAAAAAGATTTTGATTTTTTAAAATGTATTTTAAAATAAGATGTCGCTTTGTTAGATGCCCCCCACCACCACCACACACACAAACACCACCCACAGACACACATATATTTTTATGCCCTCTCTAGATCTGGTTTTCTGCCACTTTCATTGATATTTGATGTCTCTTAGAAAAAAAATCGCATTTTTTCTCCTTCACTTTAAAACCAAAATCCTGAATTATTTTAAAAACTTATTTAATGTGCGTTGCGCGTTCTTCTAGATTATCGCTTTTGATTAAAATGTCGTCTAAGTAAGCAGTAGCAAAATTCTGTCCCATGGGCATGGTATCCATCGTCTGTTGGAAGATTGACGGTGCTACTTTTATCCCAAATGGCAATCTGTTAAATTTGTAAAGTCCTTTGTGAGTATTGATACATAGAGTTTTTGTACTTTCTTCTTCTAATGGGATCTGAAGATAAGCTTCGCTTAAATCAATCTTAGAAAATACCTTACCACCGTTAAGCGTGGTAAATATTTCTTCCGGGCTTGGTAATGGGTAGGGATAATCCTTGATAGCCTTGTTTAACCCAGTCGAGAAATCTGCGCAAACACGTGTTTCTCCGGATTTTTCATTATGTAGACTACTGGTGCCGCCCATTCACTGAATTCGATTTGTGAAAGGATTCCAGTCTGTACCAATCTATCTAACTCCTTGTCAATTTTTTCTATTGTTGCGAAAGGCACGTTTCGCTTTTTCTTGAATACTGGCTGGACATTTTCCTTTAGTTCACTTTTAGTTGCAAACTTATTACATCGTCCCAAACCGCTCAAGAATACTTCGGGAAATTGACTGTGTAGTTCTTCTTTTAATTTTGCTGCTTCTGACGGCTCGCACTCAATTTTCTTACAAAATGAGCTAATAGGTAAATCCTATACGTCAAACATTTGCATCCAGTCTGTGCCCAACAAATTTTCTGTGTCTTTCATTACAAATATTTTCTATATTTTCGTTTTTGTCATGGAATATTACGTTTAGAATTACTTCGCCTTCAAGTTTGATACGCTTCCCTGTAACAGACTTAGCGATTTTCTGTGTATGCATCATGGTCGGTCAATTTAGCTTCCAAACTGCGTCTTGGGGAAAAGTCGCCTGTGACGTCACCCTGGGTCTCTGTCTTGTCCTATCCTGTCCTGCTCTGGTCGCGGCGCCAATTGTGACACCACCGGTCAGTCCTGGTTACGACTGCCAATTGTGACGCCTCTAACCCTGGGCTGACTGCAGCACCATCTGATGACTTTGGCTGGTTCGGATGGAAATCTGGTTTACCACGGAACCATGTGTGACACTAACCCTTCTGGTTGTCTTGGTCGCGGTCGATGTCTGGTTAGATTCGATATCAGCTTTGTCGTTCCCAGCTACCTTCCAACGTCTGGTTACCGAAGTAACTGCTTTCATCTCTAGTCTAACCTACCCACATTGTGATTTGATCTTAGGTAGACGAAATCAATCAGGCGTCGGGCCGTAGTGCAAGCTGAATCGGGGGTAAAGGTGATACCGCACAAGTGTATGTAAAAGAAAATAATGAAATTAACTCAAGAGGTTCAAATGTGTTGAAGAAAATAACAAGTATCTTTGTATCTGTTTGCTGAATACAGGACCGAGTCTTTCTCCCAACCCGCTTCTATGGATTCGTGACACTTTGCGTTTCCCAGGCGAGTCTTGATATCTTAAGTTGTTTTTCAATAAACTGCTTTTTGGTATCCTCAGGCGATATTCATTAAAACTTGTTTTGGTGGTGTGAGTCGTTCTTCAAAAAAAAAATTGCTTTTGGTTAGAAGTCTAAGTCGGAATGCGTGGGAATCTTTCAGTCAGCTCCTGCGATGCTGGTCTCCGATCCCTAACCTAACTCAGCTGTAACTCTACTGTAACTCAACTCCAACTCCAACTCCAACTGTCTGAAACTCTGGGGACGTTCGTTTATATGGATGCCGACCAAAACCGGGTGGGGCCTGTCGTGATTTGGGTTCTTCGATAATTCCAAATCCCCAATAAGGATTCTCTTTGTCTTCGGAGAGGAAAATTTATCACTTCCCATTTTTGGAAGTCAATTACTTTGTTTTAGAGGGGTTCTCCTCCTCTGTGTAGTTGGAGGTCGTAAGGGAATTGTTCTCCTAAACTCTTCCTATCTTATATTGATAACTCCCACCAATCCCCTCAGAGGGCGTCAACAGGTTTCCCTTCTTTCTCATATGTTTACCTTCGCCCATTACTCACGCCACCACTCAGCCAATGAACGCTCGGCAATGTGGGTGTGGCTAGACTGGCCTCAGTTTACAATTATCTCCCAGAGAAAAAAAAATATCTGCCCTTTTCTTTCTTTCTTTTCTATCGGCCAGAATTCTTATGAATCGGACTGCGGACATTAAACTTTTTTATCTTAACTTGGTATCACCTGGAATTCATTAGCGAATTTTTTCTGACTGGGTGGTCACCAAATCTCTTTGTCTCGTCCGTCTCAATATCATCGCATTCTGTCGCAACGTTGTCCAGGTTAGTTGTACAGGAATGCGGGTTAGTAGAAAAGTACATTTTC